GAAAAAAGTATGTTTTCATTTATGTCATACGGTCGGTAACATTTTTTTAGTAAAAGAAAAAATTATGCGTTAAAAGTACTCATATATATAGAAAGGGTCCCTATTTTTATTGTTTATAACAATTTCAAACTTATTATTTTTATTTAAATATTACTATGATCAATAATCACTAGTTAGTAACAATGTTTAATTGTTATGGATACAATTCCATATTATTGACAATTATTATTGACTATTATAGCGTCTTTAATGCTGTTTTCTCAATCTTGACACGAGTTTAAAATTCTTTCATTGCTGATTTTGTTTTTGAAAATTTTTTTTTCGATGAAATGTTGTCATCATATTTTCATACAAGTATTCTAATCATTTAATATTCATATTTTTTAAAAGATTTTGAAATTTTGTCTAAAAAATGGTATAATTTATAAATTGAGAAATTCAGATCATTTTCCATTTTTGCTAGTTTTTTGGATCTGTAAAAAAAAATGGCTAGACCGATTTTGCTGAAAATCTAATCAATTCTAAGTTACATAATTACACGCCGAATGCAATTGGTCCCACATCGATATCATTTTTTGTTCTCGAGATAATCGAGGCGAAAAATAATTCCGAACGCACATACGTACATACGCACATACACACACACAGACGTCCACTAGAAAACGATCGTATTTGACTCTGGGGACCTTAAAACGTGGAGATATGTCAAAATTCGGGATTCGCAAAATCGGACCCATCACTATAACTTCCCAGTGGGAAGTTAATAATTTATGAAATTAGAACAAATAAAATAATTTTGAAAGAAAGTTTCTATTCAATAAAATTGCATTTTATTTTAAATCGAATTTATATTCTAGTCGTTAGATAGTTTTAAGAGTAGAACAGACGTAATTTTTTTCAATGGAATAATATAAATACATGAATGTAAGAAGAAGAGAAACTTTAGCGTGCCAAAATCAGACAAGTCAGGTCAATTTGGGATGACAGTTTTCAGATAACCGCGTCTGAAGACGAAAGAATAATATACCTAGTAGAAATTCCTCTTAAAGCAAACCACCCCGTCAGCGCTAGATATTTCCTCCTTTATCTTATGTTATTTATCTAAAAATAGTGAAAGACAAAGCGGTGGGATACGGCGCCTGTCAAGTTTGTAGAATACTCTGGAGAGAAATAAAATCTCGTGACTGGAGGAGATGAGAAGTAGAAAATTGTCAATTGGATTGTTATTGAAAGTAAAATATAAAAGTAAAACGTGAAGAAAAATTTAATAAACCGAAAACCTATAATAAAAAAGATATTGGATGCATTGTCAACACTTTTTAAATGATTTGATACGTTCTTCAAATTTCCTAGAGAATCACGTAAAAATATTTTTACAAAAACCTATAGTTATTGACACTCAGACAAAAAAATTTACATCATTATTCATTTTCTCATAAAAATAATTACAATGCACTAGAGAAGACAGAAGATTTTTGGGAGGAAAAAAATCAATATGGGAAAAGCTCATCCAGATTTGAGGATATAAATTATTTTGACCTCATTTTTTCTGATTTCCATTTCTAACTAGTGTTAATTAATCTTGAATAACATATGTTATCATGGTACATTTCATTTCATTACATCCATTGTCTTTAAAATAATTAATAACCAATATTTTCCTTATGAAAATTAACTCTTAATCATTGAAATTTATTCGACCAATATCTATTTAATTATTCTATGATGATTACAATAAAAGTGTAAATAATATTTAGCAAAATTTTTGTGAGTAGATGATAAAAATTACTTTGCTAAACACGTGACTTCATATTAATAAAAAAAAGCAATTAATAAAACCTGTAAAAAAAATAATTACATTATATATAATAAATAATTAATTTTTTAAGCTTGTAGGAATCCATTTGTTATTAATAAACATGTATTTAAATATTTTTTTGTTTAGGAATAATTTGTTTGACTATAATGAATGGTCTTTCTGATCAGTGTAACTGAAAAATAAATAAATACCTATAAAAATAGTTAAACAAGCTCATTTACTCTTTATTACGGTTATTTGAATCCATATATCTTGATATTACTACCCAGTATATCTTAGCATAGATGTAAACAATTTAATCAGATATAAATTTAATTTGTCACCGACTTCACGTCTGACGTGGTATACGACCTCTGAATTATCTTCTCTTTAGTTGGCTGTATAGCCTCGAGCCAGTACCTAAGTCGTGCATCCTGACGTTCTCTCCTCTGGTCACGCACTCTCACTCTACATGTCTGCATGTACCACTTACATACCTGAAGCCAAGCCGTAAATTCCGTTTGAGCCGGGCTTGAAATTAGTAGCTCTAACTCGTTATACAAGGATCTGTTAATGCTTCGTCCCCAGCAAATCAGATGTACATGTCAATATTATGTGCGATATATCGATCGATGTTATATGGTGGATTGGGTTGAGGTTGTCGGGACCATATTCATGCATCAGATTCCCCGCCACTTGCAATGACGAAGTTTCGACATTACTTAGAATGTATGACTGAATAATACGTGATGAATAATGTTGATTAGAATCTGCAGATAGACTGGATACATCATGGTGTTACATTTATACAGATGATTGCTGACTAACTTGAAATCATTCATGATGAAAAATCAACTAGACTTAATTACTTTCATCAATTAGAAGTACGTCTAATTAGATGTCAGACGTACTCAATCGATTTCTCTCCCGTTTACCATTAATATATTTGGTCTCGTGTAAAGCTGGACAGCCTCAATATTACACCAGCAGGTCCTCCCTTCCAAAACTTAATGTCCCTAAACGTGCTACCGTATTTATATCCGGGTTTGTGCCACCACATGCTCGTACGTTGAATCGCACAATTCAGGCCTAGGGTAGAGAGGTCGACCTCTATCCCTTATTTATGGAGGGTAGTGATATCCTCCCAAATGCGTCCTATTTTAGCCGCGGCTTCCCTCCCTCTGTTACTCTTAGCACCCTAAAACGACCAAGTTGCGGCTGTTCCCCGTTATATGCTTACTTGAGCTCGTGAAAAACGTAATAAACAAATTTCATTTAAACTCCTGTATGTTGTTTACTCTTTTATCATGAACCGAATAAGTTGTAATTATTTTTTACGCTGACGAAATGGTGAAATTAACTGGGTTCACGGTGGATTAATGGAAATCCATTGATTGTAGTGATCTTCAATTGCCTGTGAAAATCCCAGAATTAAATTTGTGATTTATGACTATTCATGGTTTCAATAATTTTTTATTCACCACGTGATTATTAATTTATTTTTTTAATGAAAAAAAATATGAATATGTTTAAGTATTAAATTACACGGAGAGAATTTTTTCACTAAATGTAAGAGCAAAAATGACAAGTGCACGTTCCGGAATTTAAAAGTAAAAATATTTCTGTTCAATAGTAAATCTTGGCTTATCGTAAGTAATTTTAGAGTTATCCTCAGTAATTCTTTTACTAAGACACCTTTTAAGTCTCAAGTTTACTTACGAGAACTCAAAATTTACTTTTGAATAGTAATATTTTTACTTTTAAAGTTCGAAACGTGGACTTGTTACTTTTCGCACTTACATTTAGTAAAAAATTCTCTCTGTGTACATATAAACTTCATTTCAATAGCTGATTAATAGAATACAAAATATATAATCAGAGTTCAACATTTAAATTTATTTATTAACCAACCTGCATTTTGATTTTTAGAATTTTCTAAAAAATCATTTGATCATACTACTTGTACATTTCTATCCATTTCAATAAATTCAAATTACAATCGTTTCATCTATTTCTTTTTTACAATTTCAAATTCTTTTTTTTTAGTACATAATAAATATTTTTTTATTTCAACTATTTCGTGTTAAATATCAAATATTTTGAATATTCCAAATATGAATTATATTGAATAATTATTCATTGATCACTATCTAAAGAAACATAAAACTTTCATCAATATTGGCAGTATCTTAACGAAGATAACAATAGTAATCAGCTGTTAAAGTATACAATAAATATGTGCAGAAGTATTTTTTATTATCTTAGAGACTCTTTTTTCAGTTGATTACCTCTACTCGTATAGTATGTAATTAGTCGTTGAAATATGATTTTCAAAACTCTGCTTTAAAAGTGTAATGGAGTAGAATATTATCCATAAATTCTACACCGAGTTGTAGCATATTTGACGGAGAATGTTTATTAATACCGAAAACTTACAGCAAGAGAGCATAATTGTATTATGTTTTATTTGGATAAATGTAGTTATATGAGAGAATTTATTTTTTTTCACAGACGTTTATGGTTTAATTATTACAAGAATGTTTTACATTACATTAAACTAACTTGTTGATTATCTTGGAATTCACTCATTATCATATTTTTATACATATATTTATAGTTTGTAAATAACTGCTATCAGCAGTATTCTAATTACTTATTGAGAGTTATAGATAATTATAAGACTTTTTAATTAAATTTGATTGTGATAATTAGTGTAATATAATTAATCATTCTTTACATTTAATGACAATCTTCTTGTTGGCTTGTTTAAAGAAATTTTAATTAAATCGAAAAAATCATAGCTATTATGTTGAACTAAGAATATTAGTATTTAAAACTATTTGATGATGAATAAAAATTTTTATTTTTTACGTACAACTGAAAGATCGATAATGTCAAAGAAATTTTTTGTATATATTATTAAGTCTTAAAAAATTGTACGTCATTATTATGAAGTCTTTCGATAGATGTTTTTATATAATTATAGCCTGAGATAACTATTTGATTAATTAAGTTTAATATTTATTTATTAAACAATCTAATGATTTTTTAATAGATATAATAAAATACAACTATAATAATTTAAAGTATTTCCATACAGTAATCAAATTTTAAAAAAATTTTGAAAATTATTAAATAACAGAAAAGCTCATTTAAGTTACATGATAGAAAAAAAATGTTTAATATTAAATACAACACTCGCTAGTGTATAGAAATAAATTTTTATTTTAATACTTTCAAAACAGCATATAATACGAAATAGTAAAAACATTGATAGTTATCAAAATATGAAATATCCGGGCCAGTAACAATAAAATTTATGAAAACTTTATTTTTAGGAATCATTACAGATAGGTCCTGGACAGCATTCAGGGAAAGGTTTAGTATTATCTTGCTCTTTGTAACCCTTTTCCAGACCGCTACATCGCCATTCTGAACATCTGTGAGAGCAACAAGTTATTACAGTATGAATTATTATCAATCAATCAATGAAACAAAAAAATGATTGATACAGTCAAACTCCTATAATTTTTACGCCTCGGGCCAATTTTTCTAAGAAGAAAAATTACGGGGCCATGTTTTAACATGTAGACTAAACTATAGCATATTGACATTTACTATACATAAAGTAAAAATTACGGGGCTAAAAATTATAGGAGTTCGACTGTACAACGTTTTTTACGTTAAAAAAACTCTAGTCATTGTATTTAAACAAATGAAATAGATTAACTCACCCACTAGAGGTCCATGCACCTTTGTCATCACATTCGAAAATAGCGCATCCTTCTTGTACTTTAGTTCCAGTTGGTACAATTTTTTTTGAATCATCTTTACTTTTACAATCGGCTTTGAAAAATTTTTAAGAATATTTATTTCAATGAAAATAATTAAAATTAATCAATTTAAATAAACTAAATCAAGTAGTTACCATTTGCTTCTAGAAGCAAACATGCCACAGAAATGCATACAAATAAAATAACAATAGTCTTCATGTTGAGTCAATCAAACGACAGTCGAACAGTCCCAAAGCCTATCTTTTCGAACACTGGTGTCAGCTCAAAACACAGCTAAATATTTATAGGAAGAGCATACCGATATCCCCACTCATCATTTAATATTCTTATACATAAAATTTTTGGGAAATATAATGCGTAATAGAATACATAAACTTATTTACTAAAGCTAGACCACTATGGTGAGTTAATATTTATTTATCTAAATGTTTTTAGTTACAAAAACACTAAGTACATCCAATGTAATTAAGAGATTAAGAACATCACTTGAAGAGTTAATGATATTATAATGTCGTATTAAAGATCATAAAAAATGGCAAACTCAATGATGTAATATTTACACTCAATTCATTCAGAATGTTTAATTACTGTCAGAGGTACGATGATGGCTTACTTTTAAATATGTTAAATAAGATTACATTATGTACATTTTGTGAAGGAAAAAGTCGATTTACAAAAGACTGTCGATTAATTTTTGACGATTAAAAATTAGCATTATATATATTCTGATTAAATATTTATCGAAAATAAAATAAATCACTTAAAGTTTCAATAGTTTTATAAAAATATTTTTGGGATAAAAATCTTTGAAATTATATTCAAATTTTTTCGTAGTGAACGTCTGATGTCATTTTATGACAACCACAATAAACCACATAATAAAGTTGATGGTCATACATGTATAAATCGAATACTAATAAAATATTATTACGTAAATCTGACTGCTCATCGAATAAACAACTTTCAAGGTTAAAATTCAATTTATTCTATCTATTGATCAGTACATAATCAATACATTCACATCATATCTTTTCATGCAAATTTTTCAAATTGACAATATTGTAGTAACGACTCGAGATGATGCGATTAATCATCATTCATTGAATAATCTAGCCTTATATGCAATGTTTTATTTTGTAACAGTCAAATTTTTATTTTTTTTTCTTTTTTATTAATGTTAGTTTGGAATTCAAGCCTGTCAAGAAATCCAATAGTAGCGTTATTTAAAATATTTTTCCATATATTGAAATTATTCTACAGTTTGCTGAATTTTAATGAACTTTATGAAATCAAAAAGATTGAGTTTCATCCTTCGATTCTATTATTAGTTTATTGCATGATTATCACAAAATTATCAGCATATCTTCTATGTAAAAAACTATGATTGCATTTTTTCTATTTTAAAAAAATGGACAGGATTTATCATAATATACCAGTTATTAATAATAACACCATGTGAGTATTACGTGAAACTACAACATTCAATTTTTTTTTGTTATAGCTTTGCTGAAATATCCATTTCCTCATTAATGATGATATATCAAATATCACTGATATTATTGCAAGAGATTGAATGAAGCGTTGCGGTCATTTTTAAATAAAAATATAGTTGATTAAGTAAATTTATTAAACTTAAACAATTTAATAGAACCTTTCAGTTAAAAAAACCATAACCATGGATCTGTAAAAAATAATGATAAAAGTTATTGGGTATTTAATTGGATGATAAAATATATCGATAATAATTCAATCGAACAGTAATTTGAATTACTAATTGGTAAGCTAATCGTTTGAGAAGTATATTTACAAGTTACAAAAATCATGAAAATGTACCAATATTTATATCGAACGCTTGATAATACTACTAGACTAATAAAAAAACTCATTTGCTAAATAAAAATGTCACAAAGAGTGTGCAGAGTCTGGTTTGTTTTTGGTAATTGGTTAGTTCGTGCTGAGCATGATAATACACTGATACTGTGTTGACTGTTCAAATGAAGGGTACCCCATAGAAGTATAAATTCATTAATTTAAATACCACACAAAATCTAATTGGTACATCAAATCTCTCCTCTTTCCCAAACGAGACTTGAACATGAATGTCAAAATTACTATACCAATTATGCAAAATAATCATTACTTTTAATCCTACTGTACAAATTCTATGTCTGCCTAAAAACAATGACTTTACTTGTTAAATAATGCATTTGTGTATTTCTTTTTTCTTAGAAATAAATAAAAAGCTAAAAAATAGCCCTTAAAATTCAAAATAAAAAAGCTATGACAAAACTAACTTATGAAGATTTATGATTACTTTTAAATGATTTTTTATTCCAAGATATTAAATGTTTTATTGACTGTTCCGTTGAATTTAATATTTTATGGTTTTGTTGGAGAAACAACGGAATAAATGTTCTCATGTGTCAAAATTCGGGATTCGCAAAATTGGACCCATTACAATAACTTCCCACTGGGAAGTTAAAAAAGTGACCCATAATCCTACCTTCTCTAATATTTACTAAAGTTAGTATAGATAATTAATAAATATGGTTAGACAACGCCAACTCAATACATTTAATTCAAAACTGAACTCTTTTCTCAGTACAATCATAAAAGTAAAGGTCAAATCAGTAATGTGAAGCGTAAAAGTGACAATTAGTAATTCTTCTAAATAATTATAGTATTTTATGAGCTCATGTAAGCTAAGAATATCTTATATGAGGCAAGTCCTTGCAGATGATTACATAGTATAAAGCCTTAAGGGCAAGAGAATGAAAATAAATGAAAAAATAAAAAAACATATTCCGTGAGACACATGGTGAAAGCTCTAAAACGAGAATAGCTTGCGTTGACTCTTAGAGTCATTCATAGTCTGAGTGTATAACCCCTAGGATACTGTCTGCTAGATGTGGTTGGTGGTTGTGTGGATCGCGTAACGAGTTGCAGTGTGACGCCGTGGGCTTGAAGAACATCAAGGATACCTCGTTTGCCCCGGGAAATGAAAAATATAGAAGGCGGAGAGCGAGATCTTCTTGGCACTCTACTTCTCCCCTCACTGCTTTTAACTTCTGAGAGGCACCTACATAAAGTGTTATCGTTTGAGTGGATGATTGCAATGAGCCTGTTATACTTCGAGTGAAATATACCTGAGGCTACTTTGCATGACGAGGATTAATCGAGATAATTGAAAAGCTTACAACCTCATTTCTATTCATTTCCCAACTTGTACTATGCTAGCGTTATGTATGTTGCAATTAGCAGAAAAATCCAAGGTGACGAAAAAGCTCTCTTTAAGAAATAGTTCATCTTTAAATGCACTTTTCAGCCGAAATGAATATTCATTTAACTCATTTGCTGCATTTAAGAAACGAAGCTTTAATAGAAAGATAGTAAAAACATGGTCAAGTTTAAATGATTAAATGAATGACTAATTTTGTTAGCTCAACTGTAGAAATAATTCAAATTATTGCTTTACAACTTTACCTTATTCTAACGATTCTTGATAGAATGATTTTATTTAAAACATATGCTATTATATAATAGCAGCATAGTTGCTATATATTTTTCTTAATAAGAAAATATTTTTCCCGTATCCATAAATATAAAACTTTTAGTTATTAATAAAAGTAAATCCCACATATTTTCTTTTTATCAAGCCAAAAGGTCTATTAAATAAAAGTTATAGTTTTTAATTGGTCAGATAAAAAAAAATATTTCAACGGTAGGATAACAAACCTTTTTCCAATTTTTTTTTTTGTTTTATTCCTGGCTGCTCAATATCTCTCACACTGCTTCTCTGACCGGAATAGCTTTGTTATCTGCTTTACTGGTCGGCAACAGAGCCTGGCAATCCGTTTCTATCAATTTGAACAAGCGACGACGGATGAAAGCTCGACAAACAGATTGAAACCGGTAGTGACCGACGAGGCGGTGAGTAAAAGATAGAAAGACTACACTAAGTTTTTCTTTGCTTTTTTTCTTCCACTTATCAGTAGGATGTAATCCAGCAAATAAATCCTGTTCGTTGCAGACGCCACAAATTACTCGGGGGCAATAAGCGATTTCTATATTGGCAACGAGACACACTGCGTCGATACCGGAACGCAATAATCACATCTATATCTTTTTTGGATCTGATATTTCAACAATAACAACAGGTTTTCTCGTCCGTGATCTGAAATTACACATCTTTGGTTACTTGGAAAAATGAATGTCATTTTTGTATTTGTCATCCTCAACCTCTGATTGCAAACACAATAGTCTTGATTTATTATTACAAAGTACCTATGTTTCATTCGTTAGTTGAATACAATGTTATAGCAATAAAGTAAAGTCATTTAAAAAAGAAAATCTGATAAAAGAGTTATTCAACTTCAGTAAAATGCATAAAGGCGATAAAAGCTTCATCGCACGACTTTGGATTATCGCAACTCTACGAAATAACTTAGTTCCTCTTCAATAACCTCGATCTAGTTAAAACCACGAAAGGAGTTTTACAAACTTTATCACGAAATGTTCCTCTGCAGTATATATATCTACTTCTAGTAGTCTCGACCTCTTAGCAATGTTTCCTTTATTTTCCGAAAAATAGGGCAAGAAAAAAGTTTCCTTCAAGCTCCTGTTCTCTTTTACTATTCTTGTTACAACAGTAACAACAACAACAGCATCAGCAGCAACCTTGTTAAAAGTATTTGCAACAGATCTCGTCTACATCCACACAAATACAGGATTTATTTATAGAGAGAAAATGGATTACTTTTACTGTTGTGCCACAAACGGATGCATAATAAATATTAGCTTTGTAGTGAATTGAATTAAATGTATATATAAATATAATGGGAAGTAATAAAAGCTTGTAAATGAAAATTTTCGAATATAATTTTGATTGTGTTATTTCCAACATGAAAGCTACCAATCTAAACTAATGAAATACCGTATAAATATCAGAGATGAAAAGTAATAAATTGGAACCTTTGACATTCCAGTAACACCTCAAAAGGTTAAATATTGTTTATCCTCTGCTTGTCTACTACACAAACGCATACAAACTCATTTCATGAACTCGATATAATCAAAGTGAATTTTTTCCCAGAATTCTCGTGTTACAACAAGTTCCAAGTTACTTATCTAGATAAATCGAGGTCCATTTTACTTTTAAATTGATACGATAGCCATTACTTGGCGAAGCATCAGCAGATTGTATTACTTAATGATGCAATGATAATTATTATTTCTTCACACTACTGCTGTTAGTGAATTTAAAATAAGACTATACAAAAAATTCAATGATATTAAAACCCTTCTTTCAATTCTTATCTAGAAGATCTAAATTTCTAGTTAGTTGAGATTTTGTTTAAAGTGGCGACGTTTTGATAATTGAATTTTTTGTTTTGTGCTTTTGATACAAAAAAAATGAAACAAAATCTCACAATCAATTTTATAGAAGCTGGTTAAATCGAGTACGGTAAGTAGAACGGGAAATTCAATGATAAAATCAGTACTAAATTTAATGTAATTTCCGGTTAACTCTGATTCACCAAAGAATCACCAACGATTTCTCTTCACCAGACAAGATAATGCAAGAAGTTCGAATTAAATTTACATTACGTTTATCGAACAAGTCAACATACACTTTAATATTTATTTTCAAAAGCTTAATAGAAGTAATATCTTTGATTTCCCTCGAATAACTATTAAAGATCTGATTTTAAACTTATCTAACAAAGTGAATTTAAGAAATCAGTATACTAAAACTATAATAGCCGTTTCTATTCTTATAAGAATGGAAAGGGTTTGGATCATGTGAAGTAGATAAGTTTAATAAAATAAATCTCCTCTTTCAAAAAAATTTGGAATACGGTTACGCATGAGGTACATCAATCCTAGTACGACTATTTAGAGTTTTCTGGTATAAATAGAACGACTAGGCAGAAAAGTTCTCGCTATCGCTTGGATCAAGTGCAAGGTCTCTAAGGTAAACTTGTTTTTTTAGAATGAGCCACCAATCTTTTCTCAACCCTCTACATCTTTAAGAATGGAGTTAACTTGTGATAGATTTCACGTTTTAGGAGAGATTAATCTGATATAGACCTCACATGCATTTGATGCCAAATGGAGGATAGCTCACATTGAAAAACTACTTTTGCTACCCTTTTTTCATTTTGGCCCCTTTACTTAACTATATCTATATATTACAGCGATGTAGTTTTTTTTTTGCAAATTTATTATTGAAGAAATGAGATAACTAATTGAAACATTAACTTTAAAAATTGAAATACAAAGAGATTGAGTTCATGGCTGCTGAAAGAAACTAGACTGGAGTAGTATTTGAAAAGATATTAAATTATCATAATTCCACCTTGAAGTAATATTTCACAGAGAAGGTGGTTTTCCGGATGATATTTATATCAAAATCTATGCCAGTCCCGTTGTCTTGCTTAACTGGATTAATTGTAATTGAATAATAAGAGACGTAGGGGTGGATTGATTTTAGTAGTATAAATTAGTGAGCTCATGCTTATTCCACCAGAACCATCAGATCTCTATTCTGCTCCAGAATTCAAGATGGCCTTTAAGGTAAGTTACTCACATGAGTTATCTTTTTTAATTAAGATTAAAAAAAAACTTGCTCTCATACTTAAAAAATTTTTGATTTATTTCAGTTTCTTATTTTAACTGCTTTGTTAGCAGTAGCTTGTGCTAGAATAATCAGTACACCTTCTGCAGCAGTGGCTGTTGCTCATCCACCCACGACACTTGTCAGAACTGAATCTTACGATCCACACCCACAATATAGTTATGGGTATAGCGTAGCTGACGGTCTTACTGGTAAACATTCATTTCATACTATCAATTATATATTTAATTATTATGTGATTCCACTCAGATAAAATATATTTAGGAGACAATAAAGCTCAACATGAAACTCGAAATGGTGATGTTGTGCAAGGTAGTTACAGCTTGGTGGAACCTGATGGTACAAGACGCACTGTTTCCTATGCAGCTGATTCTATCAATGGTTTCAATGCAGTCGTTCGAAAAAATCCGAATATTAACGTTCACGCTCATGCCTCAACCACAGAACCTGGTCAGATTTACGCACAACAACCTTACTTAACATCTGGATCAGTCATTGCCACTGCTAATGCTAATATTTATCATCAACCAGTAAGTATTTGATAAAAAATGTTTTTTATGCTGATTATAGTAGATTGATAAGAAATTTTAAAAAAATTCCTAGCTTAAAATTTTTTTTTTATATTTGATGAAAAATATTTTAAACAATAAAGTTTAATTGAAATTCGAAGTTTTCAATCATGAAATGGGTTTTGTTAAAAAACATTTGTAAAATATAACTTGACAAAAATATGTAATCTCTTTCATATAGCTTAATAGATTTTTTTTTCCATCAATATCAAATTTTTGAAACATTTTTTTGTAGGCTCTGGCAGTCACTTCTCCATACGTAACATCAGCTTTAGCTGAAGCTGGCTCATTATACGATACTCATCCTGTATACGATACTCTTGATTACGGTTCATCTCGTCTAGTCAGAGTTCACTAGATGTCATTTTATAACAACACAGTCTATTCTCACATTAAATAGACCTCATTGACGAGCTAAATCGTTTCAACTTTGGACACGGGATTTAAAAATATTATCTTCAAGTATATTAGTGATACCATAATACCCATAATCACAAAATTGCATTTTATTGTATGAAAAAAAATCCCTATAGTATTGAAAAGAACATGATTAGAAAACATATTGTATTATGAATAATATATAATAAACGAAAAATTTACTGGCAACCAACCATTTTCTAATTGAAGTACCTGGATAGATAAATTAAATGCCTGACTTAAGTGAAGCATACCAATATCACAATTTATGATATGATTCCGTCAACAAAACAAAAGATAAAAGGGTTATTTGCATCAAATATTGCAGTCGACGCGTGTACAAAGCTAATAAAGTCCAATAAAATTGGTAGAATATTTTCTAATAAACTCTCTGACTCGTTCCAGACGCACCAGGTGGGGAAGACGAGAAATATTTATGGAGATTTATGGGTCGTAGTTCACAAGTCTACACTAGCGAAGAATTTGTAAAAGGTCAAAATTAATTATCACTAATTTATTGCCTTATACCGTGAGAATCATCAAGATATATACACATAAACACTGTAAATATCAGTGTTTTATTTTAAAACACTTAAAATCGTTTTAAAATTGAGATAATGTTAATCAAATGGGTGACGTCACATTAAAACACTTTTAATGTTTTAAAATAAAACACTCAAATTTACAGTGAATAGTGTTAAAAATAGACGTCAAGTTGATGAAAATTTGCTACGAATGATTATTCTAGTGTTGCTAAGGATAGTAATAAAAGTTGAGCCAACAGAAAATTTTCTTCTTGCATACGTATATTACCTTGCATACATGGATTTTAATTTCAACCATTTCATTCAAGTACCAAGAACGTCGTGAGATTTTCACTTTTATAGTACTTGCCGGAGATTCTCAATTTCTAAGATTAAAATGAAATTGCTTGAACCTTTAAAAAATAGTTTGTCGAGTATTCCACGGTTCCTTAAATGAGTCGAATTAAATTTTCTTCTACGATCTTTGCGCCAAGATTCTTGACTCAATAGTTTTTTATTATCTTATTATCTTAGCAATTCAATCAAGCGATATTGTCAACTTTATTTCATTATACTACTAAAACTCAAGTATTCCAAAATTTTTATACACCTTAATATTTTAATTGGGAAATTCAGTAATTATTTCTTTTTATACTTGATATTTTTGCTCACTCATTAATTAAATGATTCTCAAAGTAATGGGAGATTTAAAATTGTCACATGAATCTATTTAATATTCAATGATAAATATTTTTCAAGTGTCAATGCATCCTGTGAACTCAACACCATTTAAATCAAAAGAAAAATAAATCTCAATTCTTACTGGAAAAAAAATAAAAATAAACGTTCTCCAATTTCGATTCTTTAATCAAAGATAAAAAAAAACGAGAAGTCGATTTTCACAAACAGTCAAATAATCATTCCGTAAATTAAAAAGTTTTCTTATTCCCCAAGTTTGAAGGGTAAGTTGAAGAATAAAATAAATTATCGAATTACTTTGATTAAAATAGAAGTGGACCTGCGTTTGTCTGCGTTCACTTTCTAAGTTGCAGAAAATAAATTTTCAAGTATACGTGATCCCAGTACCTCTGTTAAATCGGCATTAAAAAAGATTAATGCTTGAGGACGAGGAAATAGAAAGAACCTTAGTTGACACCAGCGAGAAATCAATGATAAGTATTCCCACGTAAGTAAATTTAAAGTAAAAAATGACATGAGTTTAGAAATAGATGATTTAAATTAAGTACATTAAATAATGAGCCCAAGTAGAAGTGGTAAAAAAGTGAAAAAAACAGAAACTCGTATCTATTTTCAGCTATTTATCCTAAAATGTAGCTATTCTGCTAAAACCAATCTAACTCCCAAGGTCCTTTCTCATGGTAGGAAATCCGAGTGAAAATCCTGGCTATAATACCGTAACTCTAAGTAAATCCAACCTCCATCGTTCTACCTTTACTGGACCCCATTTACCTACATCAGCTATTCTCTCTTAAAAGCAGCAGTACTCATTCGTTTTAGTAGCCTCCAACGACTTTTTTTTGCTTTCTATGGCTCTTTTGTTACATCCCTACTATTTTCGGTTACCAAAGAATTATCTAGCTTACTCAGTCCTCATTAAATCATCACTATTTTTATCTCTTTAAGCAGTGCTTTGGCCAAACTTTATTTCTGTATTAATTACGTATATTTGTGGCTGCTGTTGATTAATTGTCATTCATGAAAAATAGAAGAATAATTGGATACGATGAGTTGTTCTACCATTTTCCACTATTTGTGCTTAATTGACAGTTGCCTTGATTCAGCACTCAAGCACACCAACAAAGCTTTTCCCACTGGGAATATTCAAATTCACGCTCAACCACGTCAGTACAATTACACCGTCGACTGCGCAAAAAAAATCAGACAATGAAATACGTCACTTTAAGCAACCTAGTAGTTTCCTAGTGAAACATGTTCATTATTATTTCGGTGATGAATTAGCAAAATGCCGAAATGCTAGGAAATCAAATCCCTAGATAAATTAACCAATCACTGGAAAAGTGGACGGTTATTTTAAAGAAGATTGTTAACTTCATCAGATCATGTACATGAATGTTATCCAGAAGTGAGGATCATTGCTTTCATGATAATTAAAAATAGTTTAAAAATAGATCTGGGTGCGCTTTGGAGTGCCCACACGATGAAATTCTTCTTGAAGTATTTCCACTGATAGTATAAGCATAACTCTCAGTGGATTTAAACAGTTATTGTTCGATTAATAACAGAATAAAATGATGATAAAAAATATCCGATCGTTTAAAGCCATGTATAGTTATTTTTTACAATATTTTATTAATATTGAAAATTGTTAACATGTATGATATATCATTCATCATTTAATGAATGGAAATGATTTTTAATTATTTATAGTAAATGAAGATTATTATAAACGATATTCAATTGTTGAAAATCATGTCTAGCGTTTTTCAACAATATTATGTTGATAACAACCTAATCTATTATTAATACTAATTATTTAATAGGCAAAATTTATTTCAAATTCTATGAAAGAAAGATAGTTACACCGTTCTAACCTTAAAATTGGATAAAAACTTTAACTTTTGGGGACGTTCTGACTAAAAAGTATACTCACCTCAGGAATAAAGTAAGCTATATCATACTACCACGTGTTTGCAATTTTACACGTGGTACGATATAACTCAGTTTTATTCCGTGGTGCGTAAAATACTATTTTCAGATCGTACACATGCGTACATCTTATTAAATACTAGTCAGTATAAGTAATCTAATTTATTTAGCCACTTGGTAATTTGTTTGTAAACAATCTAGAAATTCTCCGAATAAAATAATATTCATAAAATTGGTTTCTTAAAAAAATAACTAACCATCATATAATCTCCTTAAAAAACACAATCCCTACTTTTCATGCTGACTATTTTCGCGAGAAAAGAAGTAATTGAGTTATTAGTTGTACAACTATTATATGCCTTCATTAAAAATTTTATTTAGATCAGAACGTTCGATGATGCATGCCAAATGGGATTTTGTGCCTTCAGGCTTTAATTTTAAATCTTGAATAGATGCTTATTCTTTAGGTAAATTTCTTCACTCTTTTTGTCTACTGTTCAACTAGCATCTGATTAATATGATTATTGATAACAGTTTTCCATTATATACTCCTAGGATCTATCATTCCACCTAATACAACGAATGACAAACTTTTTTCTCAAAATATCGAGACCAATATTAAACCGACGCCAATGATATTACCCGAAGCGATCCCGAGAGATGTTTTAATTTAATTACGGATTATTTATTCAAGCTACATAATATTCGTCTCAGTCCAGTAGTGTTTTGACCAACTGCCTGCGGCATTCTGTTTGACTTTCACAATTTACACGTTCATACTTATATTGGTTGCATCCATATTTTACTATGCATTAAACTTTGAACAAACAAAAAAAACTTATTTTAAATGTAATTTATAAATTAATCGTAGAATAAATATCTTCCTAATTATCAAGTATTTTTTGTTGCACTTAAATTTTATAACTTTTTTAAATATAAATCAAACTTGGGATGTACTTAAATATTTAAACATTAAAATGATAAATGAAGCATAAAAAATTATTTTCTGGCAATTGAGATTTTCCAGTGTAAACACAAGATTGTAGTTAACTGCATACGTCACGCCTTCCTTATCATTTGAATTTATTATTTTAGACAAAAAGGGAAAACAGTCAAAGGCTCAGTTTAAAAACCAAAGAACTCGAGTCGCGTGCGCGACAACTATAAGCATAATTTACAGTGCATGTTTATCGCGTATCCAGCAGAGACGTGTATTCACGATACATAACAGAATCGATCGCAAAATTGTTCATTTTATTAATGAGAAATTTTTTGTTCATCTCATCAAATACTTCCCGATACAATCGAACCATTTACACTACCAACTGAATTCATTTATCTCAATTAAATGACATGAACATTATTAGACATAATTTGATATTTATTTGCTAATAAATTTCAATTAAATTCAAATGATCTGAATCATGATTATACAACATTGTTAAAAAATTTTAGCTTTTATTAAATTAAATAACAACATTTAATTATCAAACAAAAATGAATATTATTTTTTTCCATTAAAACAAAAATATTAAATAATGCAACTTTTACTTGTTTTTATCTCTAAAAGTTAATGAATAAAATAAATAAATATTTCTAACAATGGAAGTTTATTTTTTTGGGTTTTTTAACAGTCTTGATACTCCTATTCGATGAAATTGAAATGTATCATTTAACTACAAAGAACATTTTTATATTTCAGTGACATTTGACTAACTCTCATTTCGATCAAATGATCTCAAATGTTCACCATAAAGCAATATTCGTGATCATTGAAGCAATAGACTTTTTCAGTTCTCAATGGAGAGTCTGTTTCAACTATAAAAATCATTAATTATCCTAAGAACGGTGCAACGATAGAGCCAAACACACGTCTCGATAAAACGAATGTCGTGAGACCAGTGGTTTCGTGCAGTTTATCGTAAGCGGCACCTTCACTCACAAGCTAACTGGATTACATTATAAATATATATTTTTTATTATAATCAGAAGGAAAAGAATAAAACAAAACAAGCGCTGAAATTTATA